GTTTGGGTTGGAAGGGACCTTAAAGCTCATAGAGTTCCAACCCCTGCCATGGGCAGGGACACCTTCCACTAGACCAGGTTGCTCAAAGCCCCGTCCAACCTGGCCTTGAACACTGCCAGGGAGGGGGCAGCCACAGCTTCTCTGGGCAAAAGCAGCACCTACAGGAGTATTGCTATCAGTCTACACCTATGTGTTTGCATATAGGTCAGCTGGCTACTAGGAAGGCAAGGAAAAACAAATGACTTTGCAAGCTATGCACTTTGTGAACCTGCAAAGGGACACAATTTGGAAATGCTCTGCTGATCTACCTACATTTACTGAAACTTGCCAAATGTTTCTAAAGTCTGTAATTCTAACTCACTGGTGCTTCAGAGCCCGCTATGCTGAGAGAACATTCTCTTCATGACAGACAGCAAATGAGTGTGATGCAGAGACAATGAACCAGAATCCAAGCCAAGGTCAAGTGCCAAGCCTCAGTGGTCAAAACTTGCTATAAATCAGGAAATATAAATTAGACCTACTGCTTATCTTACTTTCTCTGGACAAGGTGGTTATCTGTAGCTATTCATACTAAACCTCCCACATCTTTCTGTCTTAAAAAGACAATAAACTGTTGTTAAAAGGAAAAAAATAGAAGGAAATGTGTCTAAACTGCGTGATATTTCCTGACAGGACATTTATTAATTTACTGTTTAATGATGATGAATGTGATCTTGACAGAGTAAATTACAGATATATATATTTTTGATTCACAGTTAGATAAGGAAAAATAATCTTGTGAAGAATCTGTGTGAATAAGTAGTTCCTTTGACAGATAGACCAGTTATCTCTTAAAAAAGTTAATGACTAGCGCTCTCAATAAAACCAAGGTCTGCCATCTTATTTACCCGATGCAAGTACATGCAAAGTCAACTTCCCCTAAACAAGTCATCACTTCTGAAAGCTTCGTACAAATTACTTTCCTTCTCCTGGAACTTCTGATGCTCAGCAGAGACATGAATACAACACAGGAGCCTACATTATCCCACCTATATATATAGGCCTTACTGACCCGTGGGGCATTATCCCCTTTTCTTAAAAAAATGAACAGACATAAACCATCCATCCAAAACAGAAAAATCTCCCATATTCTCTGAATTGAGTTTTCCCTTCAGCTATGAAATTTATCATGTTTGGTGACCAGGCATAAATTCTATACTTCTAATGCAACAAACACACTTTGAATCCACCTCAGTGCTTGGCTACACGGTGGAGCCCATCAGCTCTGGGAACTGCTGACATGCTGAGTCTTTTCAACTGAAGAAACTGGAGCCATGTCAGTGTTAGGTGTTGTCATCAAGGTTTGTATATGTTGGCTGTGACAGACTCTTCTGAGAAAAGCATCCAGGCTGTTTCCAGAGATCATGTGCCAACAGAACCTTGAAGTAAGTGTAAAAGTCACTGCTACTCAGTCAGCAGCTGTGAACTGCTATGTGCTCAGTCACACAGTGTGGGGCAGGACCCTGATAGCACAGCGGTATCGCGGGTCTCCATGCTCAGCTCTGCGCGCTGCCAGGGTTACTGGGAACCCCTAGCATGATATTGCAGCATCTGCAAACCAGGCTTGTGCCTTGGGAAGCCTGGCCCACCCCAGATCCCCCATTCCCTTCCTCCTTGTCCTGCAAGCAGTACTGCTTGTGTAAGTCACCTTGATTTGGCAGTAGAGAAGTGATGGAGGCAACCTATGCTTGCATCCCACTCCCCAACAAAATAGTGGTACCCGAACAGAGCTGTTGCACTATGGGGGGGCTGTGAGACTACTATACCCTTAGGAAGAAATGACATGAGGAGAGATGTGCAGTGAGAGCCCAGATTTCAGGCCAGGGATCCCAACACTCTTGGTACAGTGCCCCCTTACACTGCCGCATCTCTTTGTGAGGTGATGTCTCAGCAGACAAGCCTCAGGCCCTCGATAACATCAAGATGGTAGTAGAAGGGAAGTTAGAAAGGAAAAGAGAGATGCTCCTTCTCCCATACATAGTCCCTGAGATGCCTCTGTTCAGAGGTGTAACATTATTCTTCATTTTAGTATGTATAGCCTGAAAGTACACGTCTGTTGGTAATTTAGACCTGGCATGCTGAGTTCAGAAATGACTGCGATGGTAAATAGAGCTCATCCAGTAATGACAAGTGGCAGATCGACACCTCACAAACAGACCTCACAAACACATACTGATTCCAGAGCTACCCCTTAATACTACCTTTATAATAGCTGCACAACACGGCATGCATAACTGCATTTTCTATGTACAGGGATATATAAAAAAAGGAGAAGTAGGACCTGGAAAGCAAGGAAAGAGCAAGCTTCTCATGACCCCTTCTGTCTTTATCCAAATATCCAGAAGAAAGTTTGTGTAGTTTCCAGATAAGTTTTCTGGAGCCCATAACTCAGTTGTTGAAGAAATTGCTGATCAGATCTCCTGGCAGTCTACATCTATTGGTTATGTTCTGATGTTCTGCCAGAAAGTCAGGGCTTAGGAAGAGGGGACTCAGACTGACTTTGGAGTCTGCTGTTCCCTGTGGTTGCAAATCTGGAAACAGTGTCCTGGATTTACAGATATTTACATGAGGTCTTGAAATCTGCCCATATTTTGGGGGCTCCTGGAAGTAGATATGGGTTTCTTCTGAGGCGCTGCTGGCAAATTCTGTTCTCTGACATGGCCAGTCTAAATGTAGGTACTTTCTAGAGTTACTCCAGAGACATGTTTTTGACATACCAAAGTTAAGTAAAATGTGTCAAGGGAATGCTGATAAGGCTTCAAAGCATACCGAGAAGGGGTGTGAAAGATGTGGAAAACAAATTCCCTTTTTAATTCTGATTTCACCCACATCCTATTTACTACTAAAAATTAAAATCAGTAGCAAAATTGTATTTGATAACAGCTTACCTTTATGACAGCAATGAATCTCCCTGGTTGTTTTGAGGAGGATGGGAAACACTCTAGAAGATGTGATGTTATGGAAAACAAAGTTTGTTTTTCTTCATACTTGAAGCAACATTATTTAAACTTTCTATTTTTTAATTTTGCAGATAAACTGTATGAGATTAGAGGAGGGTTGGTGCTGCTGGCTGGTGTCACAGAACTTTTAGAAGGTAATTATGGAGTTTGGTGAAAACAGTAGCTCAAGTGTATGGAAGAATCCAAGTGAATTTAGTGAAGAGGGGAAGTCTGGAAATATTCCTTATTTAGTTCTTAGATCGAACTCCTCTGAGGGTGTAACACCACTGCTGTGTTGCTGTATGTGGAAGCTTTATACAGAAGTTCCTGAGATAAGTAGGATAAGATACTCTGTGTGCATGTGCATGTGTGTGTGTCTGTACACACACGTGCATGTGTGCACACACATTCATTGTGTGCACAGAAGCAGCATGCTCACAGGAGCTTGCTGCATTTTGGGCATGCAACAGGCAGAGGAGGGAGGGGGAGCTGCTGCCCTGGGAGCAGTGATGTCTGCAACTCAGTTCAGAATCCTGCACCAACTACTAATTTGTGTTCCACACAACTAAGTCTTTTAGAGCAATACTTTTGTTAGTGACATGATAGTGACATGATTGATATGTAGAGCATTATTGCCATCCTGTGATGAGGGAACTGAGATTCAGAGAGAGATTTAATTTGCTAGTGTCAGATGGCACATCATCATCAAAACCACAATCAGGACCGCAGTTTTTCATTGCTAATTCCATTTCTAATGAGTTACTTATCCTTTGAGTAAGGATAATGAGAGAAACAGAGGAATCTACTCTGTAACTCTCATAACACAAAGCCAGCACTCAATTTATTATATAGTCATTCACTGAG